TTTTGGTGATGTTTCATTACGTTTGTTTTTCCATAATATACCAAAATACTACAGAAATCATAATTGAGTTTTAAGTTCTTAGATATATTTTACACCTGATGATGGTTTTATAAAAACCGAAACATGTTGTGTAAATGTTCCGAAATGTAAATCGATCAATCGATATGGAACATCAATGATATTTTATTATCTTAATTATAAGAAATTTTAAATATTGTGATCAGACGGATTATAATAAATAATTGTTATAATATTCACAATATGACGCAATTACACAATCTTATTATTAAAGTTATCAACGTAAATTTAAAATTGATAGATTCTTTTCAACTGCGCAGACTTTTTTACTGCCTCTGAAAACAAGGACTCGCGTCTGGAATGGCATCGAATTAAATTGCAGAGAATCGGCCCCATGTGCAGAAGACAAGCCATAAAACAAAACGTGCTATAACCTCTACAAACAACAAGAAAGGCAATCTTAAAAACAAATGATTTAATATTCAATAAACGACAAGATAAAAACATTCTGACAAATTTTCTTTCCGGACACGAATTTATTTTACTGTTTCTAAAGAAGGTAAAGCTGAGGACGGCAATAAAAACGAGAAAACAAGTTCCATCCAATATTAGCACAAAGTAACAGAAACCAGCAGAATCATATAGGTTCAACACGCGGAGTTGTACAGTCAACAGAAGGGGCAATTTAACAAAAATACACAAATGAGGTTTAATAATTCACGGGATGATATCATGATACGGAAGTAATCATCAAACTTTGTTAGGGTCATACATAGTGTGCAATGCAAAATTTCTCTCAAGGAGTCTTTTGAATGAGGGAGGGAACGAGTGAATGTGCAATCCAATTCGAGTCCAATTATTTTTAAAATCCGTTCTTTTGTATACCTCACTGGTCTCTATGGAAACACAAACCGAATGCCACAAAGCTAATCGCAGATTACAAAAGTATGATAATAACGAATTAAATGAAACTTAAATGGCAGCCTAGATACCATATCGCATAGAGATAGGAACTGCGTATCTACAGAAAAATGGCACAGTAGACCTCTACAAGTTTCTACAAAAGGGATTACACTTATCAAACGTCAGGGAAGAAAAAATACAGAGGAGATTTTACGAAACTTTCAAAAACAGCAAACAAGAGGTCTTCTAGGTTGGCTGTTGCGCCATGTAGTCTGGCGGCAGAAGTTCGCCGACTTTTCAGAGGTGCTTGCTGCTTCCGTCACCAGGAAAAGCGGTTACTCATCGCCCTGATGACTGAGGCAGCAAGCACCTCTGAAACGCCGGCAAACTTCTGCCACCAGACTGCAACATGGCGCAACAACCCAGAAGACATACATCTCAAATGAACATAAATACTAAGCCTATAATAACACTAATTTTAAAAGTGCATATACACCGCTGCAGATAAGTTTTCCATTCTAGTTTAACGATGGGAAACGAAAACAAACGTTTCAAAGAAAAAGTATTTATGTGGAACAAGTGAGTGGCGCCAAACAGCGTGTGCAATTCAAGACTCGTGGGATTCCACTGTTGCCTGCCGTTGTAATTTTTTGGAGCCAGAGACAACTACTTGAGGGGGGGGGGGGGGGTTGGGATGTCTGGTTACGGAGCCAGTTGCACACTTCTGTTTGAGCGTCACAGCGAAGGATGGGGCATACTTGTGAAACCAACATTTTCGAAATCGAGGATGAGATGAACACACCATTTAGCATGCATGAAGACGAGAGATGCACTTGCGGGACCTGGAGGCATTAAAGACTTTTGAAGGAATTCACACATTCATAAAACATTCCACCAAAGACCACGTCATCTTTGTACTTTTCAATATCCTGCCATCAATAATACCAACATGGCGGCCATGCGAACAGGAGCGACATTAGCGGTACTTAATGTAAGCAGGCCTAGATATTAGTACAAAACGTCCTAAAAACAATAAACTTTCGTTGGGATAAGTTTTTACGGAATGTAACATAATATAGTGCGGCCGAACGAAATCTGTATTTAGCTTTCCTTTTGACAGCGGTGAATAAGTAATCACTCATTCATGAGAACTGTATGGAGACAAAATACGTATAAACGTACCTAGAATAAGCCACTGTTTAAGTTAACAATTACAAACATGGCAACGGCGCGAATTTCTTACATTATGCCTGATAAATTTAACTTCTTATAAATCTGTACCAGTGGATATTACACACACAACTGCTCCTGTCACAGTTTTTGTTAAAGCGTTTGAAATACGTCATACCAAAAGCTTCTTGAGTAACATATCAGGGTGCAAGTATGAAGATAGCTGTCTCTTGGCTTGTTTTGTCTGGTAGATGTTTACCGACGTTTCAGAGGTGCTTGCTGCGGCTTACTCATCGCCCTGGTGACTGAGGCAGCAAGAATATCTGAAAAATCGGTAAACATCTACCAGACAACAGGCAGTAACAACCCAGAAGCTTATTGTTGTGTGCACTATGATTATTACGTGATTCCCGCTGGTTGTTTGGAATCTAGTGTTCCATGATATGACCTCCGAAGTGGATCAGTAGACTGAGGTAATCGTATTTCGACCAAGACTTCTTGACCGGCTCCATGGTAACGTCAGTGCAATTAACCTCTCCGTGGAGATGCAAATGAAGAGGAATGATTGCAGCTAGGGCTTCAGACATGACGAGTCAGACAACAAACCTTGTTTCTAGCAGCGTCCTCACAGCAAAATGATCGAGTACAGGCTGAATGGCTTGTGATCAAACCCTGCATGGGGCAAGATTTTTACGGGTTCGATTCACAGAACGTTTAAGAGAAATGTCCGTCTGAAAGCACTCGACGGATAGAAATGAAATTTTTTGAGGGACTATGATAAGAACTGTACAACAACGGCTTTCGGGGATGAGCCGCGTCAAGGGTTAAGAATTATTCAATGTTTCAGTAAACCCCAGCTACCATCTTCAGGGTGAATGTGCAATGGATGAGAGTTTTTAAAAATCTTATATAGGACAGGCTGCAGGTGGATCTGGTGAATCTGTAGGTATAATATCGTCTTTACGGTTGAAGAAGGAAACAGAAACTAAATCGGTGATTCTCAAACTTGCCCAAATGATGTCAAAATAAAATATCTCACAGCGCAGAAGTCAAGTATGTAGGCCAATGTGTAGTACATGTGTGCATATATGTAGGGCTTATACACATACATACATGCATGCGTAAACCATGTTCATGTGAAGCTGACAGTCTCCTGGGATGTTGCGCCG